CATGATTACATTCTCCCACCTGCAACTCTTTTTGCATGTTTTCCTCCTCCTGAGTCAGCAAGAAGCCTTCAGCCAGGGACACCGCCTGGGAACTGGTCTCTGCTCCACACTCCCGCACCCATTTTGCCATCTCTGAGGGAAGGACGGCCAGGAATTGTTCTAGAAGTACCAGGTCCAGCATCTGAGCCTTTGTGTGTTTTTCTGGTTGCAGCCACTGACGACAAAAATAGTGAAGCTGAGTGCAAACATCTCGGGGGCGGCTCCCCTCCTGGAACTGCACTTTTGTGAAATAAAAGCACTGGACCTCTGAACTATTGGATGCCTCTTCGGGGATCTTCTCCCCAGGATTCATTGCCCCGTTCTTCCCACAGCTCCAAGGCTGAGCAGCTGGAGGGGCTTTTCTAATTTCGGCATCTGCTGGGTGTTGTCCCTCCATCTTCTCTCTGGTCTCTATTACAGCTCCAAAATAGACCCTTGGATCTCTACTGGTCTTTCTGTTCACAAGAGATCTGGCCAAGCTTACCAAGGTCATTCAGCTCCCTTCCCAGACACGATACTTAAGATTCCAGAAGAACCAGTATTTCCAGCTAACATACCTGAAATTGAAAACAATTTAGGGTGTTTGCTAATGTGATTAATTGAACTACTCAGCATCCTTATCAAGGGATGGTCTCAAGGCTTTCATGCCAAAGGGTGGACTAGATGTTAATTTCTTGGTTTCAAGCCTACTGCTTTCACCACTGAACCAAATGGCTAACTATAATTTTATTTAATATAATTGAATAGACAGTTTAATATCATTTCTATGACTGCATAGTTAAGAACGATTGGCACAATCCAATTCATAAATGTCCCAGGTCACAAACAGCAACTGTCCACTTGCGGGAAAGCAGGAAACCGAGTTCCAAGTCCTTGCACACCTTGCACCTCCTTGCACACGGGAGTTGCAGCCTTTGTACGCTCGCTTCTCTTGGCCTAAGAAGGGGGAGGCGAGGGGAGCCCCTTCTGAAAACGGGGCCAATAAATATGCAGGAAACTGTGCCAAGGCTTGGAGGCACAAATCTCTGCTTTGCAAAGACGACCTCTCCT